GGGAAAGAGGTGTGTATGCTGTTATTACCGTGTAAGCATCTGTGTCTGTGTAAGGAATGTGAAAGCAAACTCAGCTTTTGTCCATTGTGTCAGTCGTCTAAGTTTATTGGCATGGAAGTATACATGTGATTGGTGGGGAGTTACACTAAGTGATTCATAGTAACAAAAGTTAGAACTCTTGTGATTTCTTGTTCTTGTGTTAATTAATAAAATTATTTTCCATTTGTTAGGGGTGACGTTTTAACCTGTAACCGGGGGTTTGGAGGTACTCGGTTTAACAAGTATTCGGATAAAAGATACCCGAATATTATCGATGATAAGGATGGGTATACCAAAGAGTTTTTGATCTTCGGGTTTGGATTCGGGTTTCAATTATTTCATACCGGGTATTGGGTATATTTATTAAAAAGTCAAAATATCCTTTATATTTATAACATTTATCTAAGATTTATATAAATGAAAACATTTATATAAGATATATTTATTATTTATTAAAATAATTTTAATTTTTTTAATTTTTTTTTATCTTCTCATCTATATAAATTAAAGAATCGAGTTTTAAATTTTATTTTTAAGTTATTTTTTTTATTGAATTTTTATAAGTTATAAAAGTTTTGAATGTTATTTGTGTGAGTCCGCCTATTCCCGAGTACGAGATTGAGAATCTTATGAGATCCAAGTTAAGGGTACCCGGAGCTCATGAAGCCAAGAATGAGATTATGTTTTTGTAAAACCCGTGGTGATGAGGTCGAAATCGGATTTTCTAAAAAATGGGAGTACGCGACCCGTGTCCACCCCTACCATTTGTTATGTCTCTTATATGTTTCCGAAATTTTTTAGGTATCCGAATCTAATGAATTACGGATTTCAAAACCCTTACTTGAATTCGAGTTTTTTGGTATCCGAATTATATTAACCGTAAAATAGCTTTTGTATATCCACAAATAGGGGTGGGTGTCGAATCGAAAATTAAATATAGTATCATTCCCGAACCGAATCGATTATATTCAATAATATAATTCTTATTGGCGCATTAAGATGCACACGCAATGCATGCATACGAGCAGTCTACATGGATTATACGTATAACATACGTGAGGCGAGGGTAAATACATATACGTACATGTATTCCAAGGTTATGTATGGGGAGATGCATGCATGCCTTCATCAAGGGGAAGTTTCAAAAGCGTTTTTAGTGTTTTTGTCAAAATATGATTTTAAAGAAATGGTATTGAAGAAGACTAGTGAGCTTTCCCCTTAATCATGCCTTAGAAAGTGATGACAAAGAGAAAAGAGATTAAAAAGATAAAGAGACTAATAATGCTTCTGTTTCTCCATTACTACCTTTTTTTTTTTTTGTTAATCTCACCAACCTCCTCCTCCGTTTTCTATTTCATTTTTCATTTTCATAACCTTGGAAAAAATGATATATTATTGTAGAATTTGATATGTCATTAATTGTTGTCTATCATATTATTGGTGGGAGATAGAATTCTAAATCCAGAGAAATAAACGTAAAAAAAATATATAATTCAGAATGCAATAACACAAACTAAACCAAATAAAATTGTTTTACACAAAACCCATAAGTGATATACATATAAGTTTATAAGTAAGAACAAATAAATAATAAAACCCAAAAGTGGTAGCTCAACCCGTTATGAGATTAGTACGTAGTTCCTGTATATGTGTATATATATAGTCAAATTCTCTTGTATGATAGTAAGATATCTGTATAATATATTATTAGGATATAAACAAAATACATAAATATTATAAATATTAGAGAGATATCATAACTTAGATTAGAATATTATATATTCATTTGTCTGCAAATCAAAACGTACGATATTATACAACAAATCTTGACATATATCCATATAAAACAAATATTTTTACGCATGAACCGAATATAACCATGATATAGAAGCTTTTGTCAGAACAGTGAACAGGAGGAAGAGAAAGATTTTGTTCTCCCTAATGCTCTTCCACTTGCACTTAAACATATTTGGTAAGAGGGAAATTAGAAATGCCTTTTGTGGATATACCCATAAATCTACCAAATATAAAGAAATTATATATATATATATATATATATATAAACAAAAAAAAAAGAAAAGAAAAAGCAAGAGTTGAACGTTAGCTGAAGACATGGAAAAAAGCTATCTTTACTTGGAGTTTCAATCATGCCCCCTTCTATATATTCTCCTTTGTAAAGCTCGGCTTTTTACTCTCTTACTCTCTCTCTCTCTCTCTCTCTCTCTCTCTCTCGTTTCTGAATTCTCCGTATGGATGAAATCAAAGGATCACTTCATTCTACATCCTTTCATGATTTCTTTTGTTCTGATGGAATGTTTTATGAGTTATAACAAAACATGAAACAAGACTAAAATCTAGAAGGAAGCCCACAAAAGATATATGAAAAAATAACTTTGAATGGAACGTCTTCTTTTTTCATATTTCTAGTTTCCAAAGTTTCTAATGAAAGATATTGTATGTGTATTATGGACAGATCGATCCGTTTAATCACATAAGAAAAAGGGTAAGCAGATAATCATATTTAAATTACCAATTAAAGAAATGGCATATGTGTAATATAAATACACATCATCAAACAGAAAGTTAGCACTTATTCATTACTTGATTAGGGATGTTCATATGATATGATTGGATCAACGGTCTTTAATCAATTAGATTGCCGCATGAAAGCTAGTGTCTAGTGATGCAAAAGAAATTATTAGCTTTAATAAAATGCGATTCTTATAATTCCTCGAATAATAAGGAAAAAGAAAAAGAAGAAAATATCACGGCATTTAAATCGATTAAATATAAAGATCTTGTTACCTTCATTATCAGAAACTAAACATTTAAAAAGCAATTTTATCTTCTATAATCATAACTTAATATCGTGATACGATTGGATCAACGGTTCGTTGGATTATTAAGCCAACCTATATATATATATATATATGCGTGTGTGTGTGTCTATATATATATATCCACCTTGAGGCTCTATCCAAATGGTAATTTGTAAATGCATGAAATGATTGTGTAGATGATGAAGGGTCCCACTTTTGCATTTGTGAGTGTGTGAGGAGGGCTTTTGATTAGTGATGATTTCATAGAATCCCTTGGATTGAGGATATATATATATAGATGTATGTGTATATATATATATATTGTTTCTTTCTTGCTGCAGCCTTGAATCGTGGGACCTTTTCATTTTATTTTCATCATCGCTCTATAATATCATTTTAAAAACATTGCATTAGTTTTACCACATCATCAAAAGAAGAGAAGAAGGAATATGAGGAAGGGGGAAAAGAGGGATAAGGGAGAATATGTGATGTGCATGTGATCCAACAGCCTTTATGTTTCCCTTCTTCTAGGCATATTACTTTGCATAATCCCCCACTTGACTCCCTTTCTTCCCAAAAATAAAATATGGTGTTAAAAGCGTATATATTCATATGAAAATCGGTCACGAATTATAATGCTATATTATGTGTATATATATAGTATATGAAAATTAAAAATGAATTAAATTAGTTATGTAAAGTTGAAATTATTTGCGCACGCTTCCTTTTTTGCTTTACGTATGGAAGGTGAAGAACTTATGACTTTTGACAAAAAGGAAAAGATAAAAGAAAAAGGTAAGAATTTTAGTGGAGAATCGAAAGACGTTTTTTTGTTATGTTCTTCGTTTTTCGATACCAACTTTGTCCTCACTTGAAAAGGTTTACTAAAATTGTCATTTTTTTCTATTTCGATTTGAATACATATAATCATATAATATATAAGTAAAATATAATATATAATTTAAAATAAATAAAATCGAATAATATATAATTATAAAATTCATTACATAGAGTTTTCTTAAATCAAATTAATATATCTTTTGATAACGTCAAATTAATATATCTAATTTGAATCTTAATTAAATATAAAATAATATAACAATTCAGAGAAAATAAAAACTTTAAATTGAAAACAAAACATGAATGGGATTTTTTAAAAAAACAATTTCGATATAAAATTAAAGGAACGACAGAAGTAAAATCATCTAAGATCGTCGAATACACGTTTTTACGCGTGTATGTGTATATGCATGCATGCATGCATACGTGAATGTAGTATATACTATATAGTCTATTTGCGTACTAAGAAGGTGTAAGTTAAAAGGTTTAAGTTGTGAAAATGAAGTTAAAGGGTTTGTTTGATATATTTCGGGTCCGAGTTATATTCTACATCGGTTCAATTATTATTTTTCGGTTATTTTATTTTATTAATATCATCTCTAACCGGTTTTCATTTCCAATTTTTAATATACAAAATACCGAGCCCTTATATATCGCGCTAGGACCCATAAAAGCTTTAGATAAAAAGATGACATGACCTAACGAGGAAACTTTGTTGTTGATATCTTTTTTGTTTTCTATTTTTATTTTTATTTTTTGCTACGAAGGAATATACAACTTTTTGCATGGAAAGAGACGTTCTCTTTTCTTACGGCTTCCACTAATAGATTCCTCTCCCTCTTTCTATGGCCCATTTTATTTTTCACATTACTTAGTCTAATAACTTTATGAAATTGAAAGAAATGCGAGGGATGGCTACTGAGTTATTACTTTTTATATGTTAGGGTATCGAAACATGTAATTTTTTAAAAATAAAAAATAAAAAATAATTGGGTTCTGATACTATGTCAAGATTTGCAAAATAACAAAAGTATATCTTGTATAATAAAATAAAACATCAGAGACTCGTATGTATCTCCAATACTAATATTTCTTAAAATATCGAATGTAAAATAAATTTACTAAAACAACCTATGTTTGGCTATGAAAAAAAATCGATTGAAAATGTACTTTCTTTGTTGACGTGTCTATATGAGAATGGTGAAAGACGTTTTTTTTAATTCATGAGAAATAAATTGACATATGTAACGGTAGATCTGGTAGAAATTTGTGGAATGATATTTGTATTGATAATCAAAATAACATATAAATAGATAAGAATCTTACATTGAATAAATAAAGTAGACATAATAATAAATATTTCTAAATATATATTTTCCGGATTTGATAAGATCTCCATTATACGATATAACTCGTAATATTCTTCAAGATTCGGTATATCTCAACAGATCTGTCGGAAAATTTTAACAATATACGGAATGAGGATGTGATCAGACAAACTTATAAATAATATATAATACGTTGAT